TTCCTGCTTGCCTCAGTTCGGGAAGAGCATCCCTCTGTGGAGGGAGCCTGGGCCAGGAGCGGGGGAAAGGGTCTGTACAGGGGCTTGCTGATCCCTGCTTTCCCATGGACGAAGGTATTTCCATCCATTTGGCAGCACTTGCCCGTGCCCGGGGGATTTTTCAGAGGGCTGAATGCTGAGCTGATGCATGGGAAGTTGGGTTGCAAATAAAGGAGCCTGTTTGCATGCAGGGAAACCTGGATTTTCCCTAAGGGGGTGATGCTGGAACCCAGCTCTGGAAAAACTGAGCCTGGGGGGAAGGATTTCCAGCTTGGTCCCCGTGGTGGTGACAGCTGTTGCTAGAAAATGCTAGAATGGCTCCAGAGCAGCTGCTGTCCCGGATGGCGGGGCAGGATCTGCCTGGGGAGGGAGCCTGGCTCAGCCTCTGACCCTGTGACTTGAAGGACCAGTTTTGTACTTTCTCATTTCACTACAAAAACTGGGCTGACAACCTGCAGAGCTCCATTCCCTGCTGCTGACCTTCCCTCGCCCTCCCTGGGCAGAGGATGGAGGGGAGGTGGTCGTGGGTAGGTTTTTTCCCCCTGGTGCACAAGGGGTGGGTGGGGTTTTTTTACCCCCCCCCCAGATGCCCCTTTGGGTCTCGTCGCTGCTCAGCGCATCCCGGCGAGGCGTGTGAAGGATTGGCACTAACTCCTCTTTTATTTCCTTAAGTTTGGTCTGTTAAGGATTTGTAATTCTTGTCTAGACTGTGCAGACGGGCAGAAGACTGAGCCCAAACTTGAGTCTTTCTGTACGTGGTCCCCTGCCTTTCCTGCCCCCATTTTATTAAACCACAAAGTCCAACCTGGCCAGCCTTGGGCAGCAGCAGGCAGAGTCCACCGCGCTTGTGCGAGAGATGTGTTTCCTGGAAGGATTTGAGAGCCGTGAACAGGTCAATGCTGCCTTCTCTCGGCTGGGAAGGTCTCCAGGGGAGATGGTTTTGTGTCTGGAACCCTCAAACCAGCTGGTTGGGCCCCCAGGGAAATGGAGCAAAGGCTGCCAGCAGCAGCTTGCTGACCAGCCTCCAGCACCCCGTGCGGGGACGTGGCTGTGTCACTGCCGTCTCTGCTGTCCCCACCTGCTCCTAAGCCGCCCTGCTAGTTCCCCCTGCAAGTCTGGGCCACGTTTTTCTGCTCTGTGCCTACTCTTCCTCTCTAAAGTCCTCCAGAGCTTTTCCTGGAAGAGGTTAATCTTCCCTCAGCGCTCGTTCAAGCAGCTGGAGTGACCACGGGGCTGTAACACGCAGTATCCCTTCTGCTTCTCTTGGGCACGTTGAATCCCTGGGGGAAAAAGTTTCTGGAGGCTTCGGGGTTGGATCACCGCTCAGCGCGGCTCTGCTGGGTGCCCGGCGCGGGAGCTCATCCCCTGCCCCAAAGCGCTGCTTCCTAACGGGCTGGCTGCTGCTGCAAGATCCCTGCAGTTTCTGGAAAGATTGGCAAACTCTGCATTTAAAACTACGATGCCGCAGTCGATCTGTCTCTGCTGCCAGTCCTGCGTTCAGCAGCTCTCCTGCTTTCAAGTTCGCCGCGTGGACCGTGGGTTTCCTTGCTCGCAGCCGCACGTGGGATGAACCCACAGGTCTCTTTGTCTGCTGGAGGTCGTGTTTGCTATCGATCAAGCTGTCTCGGCTGTTGCTTTAGTGGTTTTTGCTCTGGTTGAGTGTTCTGCTGAGTGACCTGGCAGAAAGAGTTGGTTGCCCAAGTGGGGATCTGACAAACACGAGAGCCCTTTACCCGGCTGCGTGCACGTAAACCTGCTCTTTTCGCGCAGGTACTTCCTTCTGGGAGCCTGACTCAGCACCTTTCTTTTCCTGAAGACATCGTTTGATTTTTATTGAGCTCGGTTTTGCCAGGAGACTCGCCAGAGATTCACGCTGTGCAGGGGTCCTCGCCGTGCCGCAAAAGTTCCGCTCTTTCGTGCTGTCACTTCAGTAGGATCCAATGTGGGGCACAGCCCAAGCCACCCCCCGGCCCGTGGTCCTTGGGTTCGGGTTAAGGCAGCTCAGTAACTCCGCTGGGAATGGATGCGTGAGGCTTTGAGTGTTTAAGAAACTCATCTTCCCCATCCACACCCTGAACTACTGAATTATGTATTTCAGGGTGGCCTTAGAAGTTCAAAAGGGGATGGATTGACCCTAATTCTTTACAGCCTGGTCCTCAGCAGTGACAGAGGAGCTGTGGCTTCTCCTCAAAGTGAGCGGCAGTGTTAAATACCCAGTGCCTCTGCTTCCCTCTTTGGGGTTTTGCTGTTTCATTGCTCTTTCCAAAGCAGTCCTGCAGTCTGGCCTGAGCTGCAATGCTCATTAATCAAAGCTAAGCCAAGAGCTCCTGTTAGGAAAAAAAACCACACAACTCAAAACCAGACTAGGGGAAAATTTTACCAGATGGAAAGCCCTCTGCAGAGCCTGTAGGCCTTCAAGGTTTTGCTTCTAAAGGCCGTG